GGGAACCAAATCAGAGCATGTCAGAAACTCAGCACCCTGTCCTTCCACCAACCTTCACACTGGCACTTGAGCAGAGAACATCACCGTGTTGTTCCCCATGAACATGCCCATGATTTTCCCATGTGCAGAGCAAAGCCTGGTGTGACCAGGGCATTAGACACATGGTCCTATTTTGATTCAGGTTCTCAAAACATAGATTCTGTCCCCAGTGTCCATTCAGTTGTGCAAGCCAGGGTGCTAATCCACATTTCAGCCCACTGCTGAGTAATTCTCAGTTGTGGTCAGCTAGTTATTCTGACCGGGCAATCATGTGTCTCACTAAGGCAGAGACCAAGCCAGCAGAATGTCAAACCCCTCTCAGCTAGGAGGACCCCTCCTGCTTCAAACTCAGGGCTCCAGCTTAACTTTTGCCCTAAACAGATCATAACGACCACCTGCTCCAGCCCAAGGGTATTATCACCCATCAGGTCCAGAACCCCAAGCTGTCTCTGATGCAGCAAACCTGTCTGGAAGATTTAGTCATGTTTACTCACATGACAGAAACCAGTGGAAAGTCAGGTACTACATTTCACTGCACGATCATAGTGATTTTACGCTAATTTGGCACTCAAAAATGTAGGGTGCAATTACTCTGTGAAGCTTTTAAAAATATTGTGTGTGCTGGCATTATTTAAAAACAAGATACAACAATTATACAGTGACACATGCTCAACCTAACATCACTAAAAAACTCGAAAAACCTGACTCTTAAGAATGACACTCAGTGGGGCCGGAGTGATAGTACAGTGGGTAGGGTGTAGGGGATTTGCCTTGCACGTAGCCGACCCGGGTTCAATTCCCAGCATCCCATATGGTCCCCCAAGCACCGCCAGAAGTAATTCCTGAGTGCAGAGCCAGGAGTAACCCCTGAGTATCGCTGGGTGTGACCCAAAAAGCTAAAAAAAAATGACATGAATGACAGTGAATATTTCAGAAGTCAGAATAATCCTCTTGAAGTTTAGGAGTCTAGTTAACAACAAGAATAATACCGATAACGAAACAAATTAGGAGAACTGTATAAGTCACGTGAGAAGTTTAACTACCACAAGACAGAAACTGACAGAGCCAAGGCAAACCCAGAGCCACACAGCAGAGTGACAGGACTGGGAAATTCAGTAGAGCTTCCAAGACAGACTCCACCATGCAGAAGAAATAGTCAATGAAATACAAGACGGAAATAACCCAAGCAAAGCTGTATATCTAGAAGTGAAAGAGAGAAGAAATCCTAGAGGCCAGAATGATAGTACAGTGAGTAGGGTGTTTACACACAGCTGACTCCGATTCTATTCCTGGCACCTCATATGGTCCCCCAAGGATCCTTAAACATAGAGCCAGGAGTAACCCCTGGGGTGGGGGTGAGGGGAAGTACATCCTGAGTACCTCTGAGTATGGATATAAAAAAAAAAGAAAAGAAAAATTTTACAGAATTTATGGTATAACATCATGAAAAACAATTATCACTCAGCCAGAATTATCGAATATCAAAACCAGGTAAAGATATTTCAGGAAGAAAAAAAATCTAGGCCAATATCTCTGATGAACACAGACACCAAATAAATAAATAAATAATTCACACACACACACACACACACACACACACACACAATGCTGGCAAACCAGAAGTCAGCAACACATACAAAGAATCATGCACCACAATCAATTAGATTTTGTTTAGGGAATGCAAAGATGATGCCACATGTGCAGGTCAATAAATGTGATGACAGCACATTAAGAATGAATGATAGAATCATGTGATTGTATCCAAAGATGCAGAAAACAGCAGTGGACCGAAAGCCACGTTCATTTCTGATAGATGCTCCCCATCTGTCACTTAGAGGGGGAGGAACATATTTTCACAGTCGTCACCCTCCTCCCCCAAGCCCATGTCATGTTTGATGCCGAGAGGCTTTTCCAAGCTTTTCCAAGGTGCCTCAGCTGTGACTCCTTCCGTGACCATCCACCTAACCCTCTCTCCTTGGAATAGGGTCTGGACTGGTCCGTTTAACTTACACAAATGTCACTGTTGATGAGAAATGTTCTCTCCCCAAAGCATTGGGTGACTAGAATAGCTGAGATAAGTGCCAGGAGGAGTACTCCATTGCTTTGAGGACAGCCGCACACGGGAGGGGAAAAGGCAGGTCAGATAGAAAAGGGAGCACCAAATAAAGGGTGTTGGGAGGTTCCTCTCAGGGTGGGAAATGCGTGATGAGAGTAGACTACAGACAGAACAAGATTGCCACTCAATGCCTCTTTTGCAAACCACAGCACCCAAAAGGAGAGAGAGAACAAAAGGGAATGCCCTGCCATAGAGGCCGGGTGGGATGGGGGGAAAGGGGGTGGGAGGAATACTGGGACTGGTGGTGGTGGAGAATGGGCACTGGTGGAGGGACGGGTATTCGATCATTGTATAACTGAAACCCAAGCACAAAAATTTGTAAGTCTACAACTGTACCTCATGGTGTTTCACTAATAAAAATTTAAGAAAAAAATAAATAAAAATTTAAACATTTTTGGTCTAGAAGGAATACAATTAGAGTATGTGGTTTATTTTATTCTATAAAATAATTCTACTCCATATAGACCCAAAATATTTAAAATTTTATTATAAGTAGTTTTTTTTTATTATAAGTAGTTTTTTTTTATTATAAGTAGCATGGACAAAAAAAAATAAGCGTTGGGTGACTGAGGGCTGATTGCCGCTTACATAGCATGCTGGTGGGGAGTAGTTTCATGAGCTTCACTCTGAGTTTGCCTTCCTACCTCTCTTTGTCACTCCAGGTGTTGACAGCTCTGGGCAAGAAGCGTGTTAGGAAAACCAAGTGAACTGTTGACATGGATGGTCTTATCCTGTAATGGTAGCATGGCTCTCCCGTTGTTCATCGATTTGCTCAATTTGTTCAGTAACATTCAGATTTGTTCAGTAACATCTCCATCGCGAGACTTGTTGTTACTGTGTTTGGCATATCGAATACGTCACGGGGAGCTTGCCAGGCTTTGCCATGCGGGCGAGATACTCTTGGTAGCTTGCCAGGCTCTCCGAGAGGAGCAGAGGAATCAAACCTGACTCAGCCAGGTCGGCTGCGCACAAGGCAAACGCCCTACCGCTGTGCTATCGCTCTAGCCCCTTTCAATTTTATTTTTTTAATTGCCTTCACAAGATTTCCTGAGAAAGACTACGGGCTCCCTCTAGTGGGGCGGAAGCCTCCTGCCCAAATTATTTCCCCAAAGCGTGTGATTCGGTGTGAGGGAACAGGGGACCTTTCTTAACTCTGCCATTGCAAACTTCCTCCAGGGTGCTTTACTCCTGGAAGTTCAGGAAAGAGAAGAAAGCCACTGGTCTTGGGGAGGCTTACCAGGAGGGTCCCCACATGAGAGTTAAGTTGGTGGCATGAAACTGCTCTCACCTAAACCAAGGGGGATGCAGGTTACAGGTCTGTCCCGGGCAGCATTTCAATCAGCCAGCTCTGTCATTTCTAAATAGGTAATTGCGGATTCCATTACTTCCCTCTTAAGCCTTTGCTTTGATAATTAAGGAGTTTGAAGGATCATCTCATCTTGTTTTCTCATTTTTACTGTGGAGCTCAGGTGGTTTGCTCAAGATTACACATTTGCAAGTCTGCTTTGACCTTCATGTACCTATTAATTTTACTGAAAGTCAGCCTTAATTCGCTGGCTTTTCTTCATGAGGAAAAAAAAGGATCAAAATCCATTGCTTTCTTTAAAAAATTATTGCCTTTCTGTTTCATATTTGAAGCTTAAAGTGCATCTTTTATAAAGTTTAATAACAGGTTAAAAAAAAAGTGTTAATTCCAGCACTCAAAAGGAGAGAGAGGGAAATGCCCTGCCACAGAGGCAGGGTGGGATGGGGGCTGGGAGGTGGGAGGGATACTGGGATCCGTGGTGGTGGGAAATGCACACTGGTGGAGGGATGGGTGTTTGAATATTGTATAATTGAAACCCAAGCACAAAAATGTGTAAGTCTGGAAAAAAAAATAAAATGTTTTTTAGTGGAAAAGGTAAAGGTAAAGGCCCTCCCGTTGTTCATCGATTTGCTCGAGCGGGCCCAGTAACGTCTCCATTGGAGACTTTGTTGTTACTGTGTCTGGCATATCAAATGCGTCACTGCCGCGCGGGCGAGATACTCTCGGTAGCTTGCCGGGCTCTCCGAGAGGGGCGGAGGAATCGAACTCCGGTTGGCCATGTTGGCTGCGTGCAAGGCAAACGCCCTACCGCTGTGCTATCACTCAGAAGCGTTAATTCCGATTCGTCAAGAAAAATTAAAATTGCACCCAGGCAAGGAAGAAAGCAGTGCCTTACAGGAATGGTTTGTGGCTTTACAGTTGGGCAAAAGAAAAGAAAAGAAGTTCGCCACGTTTAGTAATTAGAATGGCTTAGACACAAAAGGGCATTTACCTTGCACGCAGCCAACCCCAGTTCAAGTCCTTTGTTTCTCTTGGAGAGCCTGGCAAGCTACCAAGAGTATCCCGCCTGCACGACAGAGCCTGGCAAGCTCCCCGTGACGTATTCGATATGCCAAGAACAGTAACAAGTCTCACAATGGAGACATTACTGGTGCCCTCTTGAGCAAATTGATGAACAGTGGGAGGACAGTGCTACAGTGCAGTGCTAGACACAAAACAGCAAATGGCCAGTCAGTATGGGCACTCATAGACACCTTCAGTTATAAGTCCATTCATCTTACCTGTCACCCCTTTCATTTCTCTTCCATCAAAGCATATACTAACTTGCTTTTTTTAAAAATTATTTTTCTTCGTTGCAGAGTATTGGATATGCCAGACACAGTAACAACAAAGTCTCCAATGGAGACGTTACTGGGCCCGCTCGAGCAAATCGACGATCAACGGGAGGGCCCTTACCTTTACCTTTTTCTTCGTTACTATTGCCAAAATCAGTCTCCCAACAGGAGCAAGGTTGTTACAAAGCTGTTTTCTTTCTTACAGCAAACCACATGCTTGGTTTTGGGACCCTGGTCAGCACTTCGAATACCTATGACGGATCTGGCGTTGTGACCGTGGAAACGGACCGCCCGCTCCTCTGGACCATGGCCATCAAACACTGACCCCAGCCCGACGGCCTTCTGCCTATGCCAGAGACTTACCTCATTTGCAAATGGCTTGCCGCTCTACAAAAACACTTCGCCTTGGGGTTCAGAAAGCCCAGCCACCCTGTGGAAGCCCCGTAGTTTTCAGTTTACATTTAGATGATCCAGGTAACTCTAGAAAGGACACACCTTCACTTTCCGAGTGGAAAGGGTAGGATGGTGATCGATGTTTGCCAAGTGAGGAGGCTGTATTACCTCCAGTTGGAAAATCTCAGGGGGCGTCTTTCTGCTGTGAAAGTCAGTACTGATTATCCTTCCACTGTTAATCATTCCACATATCCTGGGGAATTATTTTAATTCTGAGCCCAGAAAGCTCTGCTGAGATGCACTGCTATCCCCCATCCAATGTTCCCACCCGTCCTTAAATGCTTGACACCAAGGCCCACTGCTGGGTGACTGTGATTTTCTTCTTCCCTCTGAGGTCGAAAAAAGAAGTCCATCTAGATTGGGATGCTACAATCGCAACATTTCACCCAGGCCTTACCGCTGCATTTAAATGTGCTTCTCCCTCTTAAAAAAAATAAGAACAATTGAGCTAATCATTACATTGGGAAATAAGGTAGCCTAACATGCAAGAGAACGAACGGGAGATGGGATGGGGGATTAGTGACAGCATGAGGCCTTAGTGAATCCACGGGTACAATCACGTTCCTCACCCGCACACGCTAGGCAGAAAGTGTGGTGCGGAGGAAACCAAAATTTCCAAATTCATTTCAGCCCGACATCTGTCAAACCGAATCCACTTCTGATGGTTCACAGATTATAAGTTAATGCAGATGGTCAGAACATGAGTTTGACAGTCTCAGGAGGGTCAGTGGGTTGAGGGAGTTTCAAAGCTCAGGTCCCCGTCCCAGGCCAGCCATTCACCTGAGTTCCTGAACCCCTTTCTTTGGGTGGGAAAATGCCCTGGCTTAATGGGGCGTAATGCCCTACCCACGGGGCCATCTGGACACTTAGCTACTGACCCAGCGGGTTTGGCCACCTGGACACAGAGTGTTCACGTTGCTGTTCTCGCGAGACTCTCTTGACTATCCTACCCGTCTCTACCCAATTACCAACCCAATGTTGCCATATAGCCCACGGGGGAGAGGACCCTCCCCAGCGTGCTGCTAAGCAGATGATGCCACGGAGCTCTGAGGAGAGGGACCAGCAGCTTTTTCTTTCCCTCCTGGTGCTCTAAGGTGCTGCGTCGGACTGTCGTGTGAATGGAAACCAAAGCGGGATCAGTGGAACTACAGAGAGCTGTGAACCACTGATCTATCAGAGCTCATTTGTTTATGCAAATACCTGTATCACTTCAGTCACATGTCAAATTAAAATATTTAGTTAGCAATGTGTACTTCTTTTTGTTGTTGTTGTTCAGGTTGTGTGTGTGTGTGTGTGTTTTAGGGGGGCAGTGTTCATTTATCGTTTTGATTTTTAATTGAATTAACATGAGATAGGGGCTGGAGCGATAGCACAGCAGTAGGGCGTTTGCCTTGCGCTAGGTCAACCCAACTGACCTGGCTTCAGTTCCTCTGCCCCTCTCAGAGAGCCTGGCAAGCTACCGAGAGTATTTCACCCACATGGCAAAGCCTAGCAAGCTACCCATGACATATTCGATATGCCAAACACAGTAACAACAAGTCTCACAATGGAGACGTTACTGGGCCCACTCGAGCAAATCAGTGAACAATGGGAGGACACTGACAGTGACCATGAGATAGAGAATTACAAAGCTGTTCATTATTGGGTTTCAGTTGTACAGTGTTACCACACCCATCCCTCCACCAGTGTAATTTCCAGCACTAATGTCCCCAGTTTCGGGTCTTGCTCCCAGGAACTGGTTGTCTTATTGAACTCATTTCCACATCTCAACTAGTCTTCGACTACTTTATGTGAGCATGGTGACAACACAGAGGCGGTGTGCCCGGTCACCATGCTCACCTCCCCATGACCCTCGCCTCTACATCCCCCTCCTGGGATGCTGCCCATCACCCTGGAGAAGCCAGACGCTGGGCCCTGTGGGGAGAGTAGTTGTGTTGTGTTCTGCGATCACTTTCAGCTTCTCTCTATGCATCAGGCATCTAAGCATTCAACAAACCCACAAGGGCATGTTACCAAAGCCAGGGCTCACTGTGATTAAAAGATCTTTTTGTCCTCAGGTAATAGGGGAATCCGAAAAAGAGCTTCAACTGCTGGGACCTACTAGAGCCCCATGTCACTCTGAGATGTTAGTGGTCAACTACCCAAAGCACTAATCTATGACCTAAACAATCACTAGTCTAAGGAATGGAGGAAAAACTGCACCCTCACATGCCGGGCCCTTGGGGTGATCGAGCTCTGGGCCTTAACGTGTTGCTGGACACGTGGTAATTTTCTGCTGGGTGAGAATTGGGCCATTTTCCTAGTTCGAAGGACCCCCCTAGAACAAGGAGGAAGGCAGGATGTCCTGGCATTTCCTGCAGCTGCTGTATGTGTGAGATGAATTTGAAACAGGACTTCTTGTTTAAGTCAAAGCTTAACTTGGATGATTAAAACACAACAGTCCATGGTAGGCAGGAAGAAATCACTCTCTCCCAAGACGCAGTGACTATGAAGTGAGTGATCTGCATGGTGACATCCAGTGGACGTGGGCCTTGACGCTCTAGGAATGCATTTGTCTTGTGAATCAGTTCATGTACAGGTACACGTGCACACACACGCACACACATATACACACTACCCCATAGCCTAATAATTTTATTTTAAATTTTAAAACACTTAAACACCAAAAGGGGCTAATAAAATTCATCTTTATGTTTACAATAAAACATCACAAAACTTCATTGGTCTTCGTAGATGGTACTACTTGCTTGTATTCCAGATGATTCTAACAGCAGGCTCAAGGGCTAGACACATAGTACAGTGGGGAAGGCACTTGCCTTGTACCTAGCTGACCCAGGTTTGATTTCGGACACCCTATATGGTCACCACCAGGAGTGATCCCTGAGCCCAGAGCCAGGAGTAAGTCTTAAGCATAGCTGGGTTATGGCCCAAACAAAACCAAATGAAATGTTTAAGACCAAGCTACATTTTTTGAACAATAAATATGGAAAGCGATGAGCATGAATTTCTGCAGGACCTGAGCAGAGACGCCATTGCATGGTACAATTAATTCTGAGCTTGTTCCTTGATGCTATGAATCCACTAATAGAATATAAATCCTCCAGGAGCATAAATGTTGAATTTCTTGTTAACTGCTCTATCATCTCTGTCTTCGGCTAGGACCTTCGCTGTGAAGGTGTGCAAAACATCTCTGGGTAGTGCCACCATTGCCGTAACTAATCCCTTTTGGACCGAGGCCCCAGCAGTAGACTGAAAGTTCTTCCTGGTCCCAGGAAGGTAATTTCTATTCCTTCTGTGATCTCTTAATTCTCCAAGACTTAAGCTACTAGTGTGAGGGTGAAACTGATGCCATGACAAGCTGCAGCTAACATTTAAGTCTCAACTAGGCCTCAGTTTCCCCAAAGCAGGACATGCAGTTTCTGGTAAATTGAGTAATTTGCCTAGATAAGGAATTGGGTAGTTGGGTCTGGCTGGTCATGAGGGGGTCACTGTACCCTCCTTAGAATCTGTTACTCACCATTGTCTAATTGCTGACCACTGTCGTAATAGGGCTTATGCTAAAAAAAAAGACCCACATATAAATTGCTTCTTAACTCTGAACCCTTTATAAACCTTTGCTTGTGATTTGGAGTCAGGATCCTTGTCAAGACACCACTGCGTTCAGATGAGACTTGGACCCTAGCTCGAGCTAGCAAGAGCTTGAGTTAGTAATAAAGTTCCTTTGCTTTTGCATTATTGTGTGTGGACTTGGTCTGTCTGCAATCGGGGACCCGAAACTCAGGCACAACACTGGTGAACGCAAACATTTCCCTTTCACTGGCACCTCTGCCCTCAGAGGGACTGTGCGGGTCTGAGATTGGGCAGGCCTGTTCATTTCCCTGCTCACTCCTATTTCAAAGGACGAAATAACATACACAGAGCCCGTGGACTTGCAGTCTTCATCCAAGGCAAAATATTGACAGTGACAAATACAGGAAAAAAGCAAAAGGCCAAGGAATTTGAAATGAGGCAAGCAATGATGGAGGTTTAAGAGCCTGGTACGACTCAAAGACTCCAGGTCAGAAGAGAGCAAAGAACATATTTGAGTGGCCTGACTGGGGAAAATAGTGAAGAAAGAGGTCCGCAGCATTTCAGTTGGAAATGAAACATTGGAATTAGAATTGGAGTTCTCCTGCACCCGAGGTTCAAAGAGTGACCTTGGAGGCCACAAGTGGAGTAGATGATGGCCAAGAGTACATGGGCCTGGAGATAAAGCTCAGTGGTAGAGCATGAGGTAGGGCATGAGGCCATGGGCTAATCCGACACCACACTCCACGCCAAGTGCATTGTCGTTGGTGATTCCTGGTGCCACTCAGAAGCACTGCAGCCAAATCAGTGACTCCAACTCTTCATAGCCAGAGCAACTGCAGAGGGAAGGAAGAGGTCAGATACTTATTTGCTAGTACTTAGAGGCCATGCATTCAATTTTGAGATTTTCTTTGTGTTCACCTATACCTTTCCTGAGAAGTAAATCTTTTATATTAAAATGAGCCTGAGGATTCTAAAAAATATTTTTTAAAATGGTACACTCATTTACACAATGGAGTACTAAGTAGCTGTTAGAAAAGATGAATTCCTGAAATTCACATACAAGTGGTACTACATGGAAAGTATCATGTTAAGCGAAATGAGTCAGAAAGAGCGGGATAGACACAGAAAGATTGCATTCATCAGGGGAACATAAAGCAACAAAATGGGAGACTAACACCCAGGAGTGGCTGAGATTAGTACCAGGAATTTTGCTCCATGGCTTGGAGGCCAACCACATGTGCTAGGGAAAAAGGAAGCTCAGATAGAGAGGAGAGCACCAAATAAAGGGTGCTGGGAGGATCCTCCCAGGGTGGGAGAAGCATGCTGAAAGTAGACTATAGACCAAACATGATTGCCACTCAATGCCTCTTTTGCAAACCACAACACCCAAAAGGAAACAAAGGGGAATGCCCTGTCACAGAGGCATGGTGGGATGGGGGAGATGGGGGGTGGGAGGGATGCTGGGACCCATGGTGGTGGAGGATGGGTGCTGGTGGAGGGATGGGTACTTGATCATTGTATAACTGAAACCCAAGCACAAAAATTTGTAAGTCTATAACTGTATCTCATGGTGTTTCACTAATAAAAAAAAATTTAAAAAATGGTACACTGTAGTCAATTGAATTTCCCTCATTAAACCTTATTAATTTTTTTGATCCACTGTTCTCTACTACTACTAATGAAAAATGCACTGGTAATTAACTTTGAAAAAAACATTATTGCCACAAATAGTATTGTTTATTCAAGAAAGGTCTTCTCCAAAAGTTTGTTTTCACGTTACTTTTACCAATTCAAATACTCAGTAAATAGAGACAGTGTCAAGTTTTCTCTTCAACATTTTCTATAGGTGTGAGGCCAGATATGTGAAGATGATAGTTTTTACTATCATTTCCCTAAGATGATAGTTTTTACTCATTGGTGCTACAGGAATGGTGTCTGTCAATACTCCCTTCACTGCAGCGACTTCATTAATTTAGGAAATAGTTTCCACTCTACTTCTCATTCCCTAATGATGAAAAAAATACTCTAGACCCCAATTGTCTATACATTCTGCTTTTTTTTTTATACGTTCTCCTTAAAATTCAGAAGCGCCAACATGAATAATGAGCAGAGGAGAAATGGTGCAGAAAGTTGTTGGGATAGCTTTTCGTCAGTGAATTTATTATGCATATTTTAAAGCTGACCTTTTAATCCAAGGTTTTATTCAATTCCATTGCATAGAATTGAGCAACATGGTCAGTTAGAATATTTGTATTCTAGTAGCATTGGAACAAGTTTCATGAGGAAAAACTCACAGATTAAATCATGAAGAAAGCAATATATTCTTTTTAAGGCTAACTGGAGGTAGAATCGATAATTTTCTTTTAAATAAGAAAAATTTCCAGAAGAAATTTGTCATAAATTTTAAGTGGATGATGCAAATCTCTTTTATAATTCCTTCTCTAGATTTAGATGTGGCTAGTCATTGTAGAACCAGAGAGATTTTAGTCACATTGGTGCTATTGTTATGTGTTACCATGTTGAGGAATGAATTCTTTTTTATAAGTTGCTCTAAGGCTTAACCTTTCTCTTGGGC